CACATATTTCGTTATGAACTTTGATATTATACCATATCTATTCTATCCCGAAGCGATATTTCGAAACTAAGTGTAATTAAATACGAATTTTTAAGCACTTAACTTGAAAGGTGCTTTTAACATTTTTATGTAACGTCGTTTAGTTTATCTTTAAAATTACTGCTTATTTGATAACATATTTTAGATACTAATTGTTTAATATAATAATTGTAAATTGATTTTATTTTAATTTCAAACGGTTTATTTCTAAAAGAACATTATGGAAATGTCTCAAATTAATTGGATTTAAGCGGGAATTTTCTTTGTTTGATTCAAATAAGAAAATCGATCGGAATTTAAAAGCGTTACAGTTATTTAATTTCACCTATACAATCAAAAACGACAGTCTTTTACATTTACAACCGACGACTATTAGATGGCGTTAAGGAATTTCAAATATTTCAAACCAAAGACATTTATTTGATTAAGCTTAAATTTGAGACAAAATTACTAAAAGATAGATATACATAAATATCGATAGATATGTAAAAAGTTGTTGCATAATTAGAAAATGGAGTATCTACTTCTTTTAGCTACTCTTATCGGCTGTTAGTAACAGCAAACTTAGAAATTATTTCTATTTACGTGTTTCAGTATCGCAGGATGTCAACTTAAAACAAAAGTATATGGATGAATTCGGAAAATTAAATGATGAGTCCTTTACCCATAGAACCTGCTAGACTTCTATTAGCAATTTATAGGCTTTAATTGGCAATACCTAATCTTTTGCCAGCATTATTAAGTATCTTGTCTTCAGTAAGCAGTTCTTTATTTGCAACATGCAACATTACACTTCTGCTAGCACTATTTAGTCTTCTATTATAAGTACCTGGTCTTTTGCCAACATATCAGGATTTGTGGTCTTTTATTAGCAGTATCTAACTTTCTGCCATCGGTATCTAGAATTATATTAGCAGTAAGTAGTCCATTTTAAGTGGTATCTAGCCCTTTGCCAACAATATATGGTCTTCTATTAGCAGTAACTGGTCTGTAATATGCAGTACCTAGTCTTTTGCATTAGCAGAAATCTTCTATCAACAGTATCTACCCGTCTATTAATACTATAGTCTTTTATTAGCAAATATATTATTCCAATGGCAGTATCTATAACAGTCTTCTATTGCAGAACCTTACCACATAATAGAATTCCAATTGCAACAACAACAACAAAAAAATGAACCTATTTTAACCCTAAATAAATCAAGGCGTTTTTCAAGTTTAATTCCCCATAAAAATTCAATACAAATTTCGTTGTAAACTACCTTTACGTGTTATAAACTCTTATATCAAACAAAAACGTAAATCTATTTAATTGAGCATTGTATTCAATTTATATCGGAGATATCAAAATGGATTTTTTCTGTTTTCGCTCATTACGAGAACAAAATTACAAAAACAACTTCTATTTCAATTTTAGATAAAGAAATCATTTTGTAAACCGGAAAATGTACAGTTGTACAGTTTAAGTACGGCTAAAACGAACGTAAGTAGAATGAAATGGTTCTTTTTATTCTCGGAAGGATGTTATCGCAATGGAATTTTAATGAAATACGTCACAATTTAGAAATTATTTTTTCAAAACTCGTTTTTTTAATTGGAATAATAACTTTAAAAACATCCAATTCAACCTTTTTTTTAATCGCGAGTCAATCACAATTATACAATTAATACGATTTAAATTGTTATCTTAATTATTATTATTGGTTATACGCGATTGTTTTATATCAAAATTGTTTTTTTTCCTTAAATTTTTCATTGCACTAAAGTTAGACCTAGAACTAGTAAGTTTCGGGTTTAGGCGTGCGTCTTCAGACGCGGCTAAGTAAGATTGAGGAAAAAAAATTATTTTCTCCGAAACGGTTAGGATTTAAACAATGAAACTTTTTGAGGTTATAAAGGAACGTTTGAGGTTAGGTTGTACCAAATTTTAAGTTTTCAGGGCGAATAATTCATGATATATAAACGCTTGAAAATTACCTATCTAATTTGGCGTTTATTCAAAGTTAGATTAACATAAAAAAAATGTTTTCTTCGAAACTGTTGGAATTTAAGCAATGAAACTTTTTGAGGTTATAAAGGAAGGTTAGAGGTTGGGTTATGCCAAATTTTAAGATTTCATAGTGAATAGTTCATTATATATCATTGTATAAAAATCACCTATTTCATGTGACGTTTATTGAAAGTTGGGTTAAGATAAAAAAATTGTTTTTTCTGAATCGGTTAGGATTTAAGCAATGAAACTTTTTGAGGTTATAAAGGAACGTTTGAGGTTGGGTTGTACCAAATTTTAAGTTTTCAGGGCGAATAATTCATGATATATAAACGCTTGAAAATTACCTATCTAATTTGGCGTTTATTCAAAGTTAGTTTAACATAAAAAAAATGTTTTCTTCGAAACTGTTGGAATTTAAGCAATGAAACTTTTTGAGGTTATAAAGGAAGGTTTGAGGTTGGGTTGTGCCAAATTTTAAGATTTCATAGTGAATAGTTCATTATATATCATTGTATAAAAATCACCTATTTCATGTGACGTTTATTGAAAGTTGGGTTAAGATAAAAAAATTGTTTTTTCTGAATCGGTTAGGATTTAAGCAATGAAACTTTTTGAGGTTATAAAGGAACGTTTGAGGTTGGGTTGTACCAAATTTTAAGTTTTCAGGGCGAATAATTCATGATATATAAACGCTTGAAAATTACCTATCTAATTTGGAGTTTATTCAAAGTTAGATTAACATAAAAAAATGTTTTCTTCGAAACTGTTGGAATTTAAGCAATGAAACTTTTTGAGGTTATAAAGGAAGGTTTGAGGTTGGGTTGTACCAAATTTTAAGTTTTCATAGTGAACAGTTCATTATACAGGGTGTGTCAAATGTCTGGAATTTAGCCAATAATTCCGCCATTTGTAGTTTTAAAGAGAAATGTTTGAAATAAAAAATTCTTTATTAATTGTGGCGCATTTTTTGACTTGCTTGTTTACACAGTTCTTTGTTTCGTTGCTATGGTAACCAATATTGTTATTTTAAATGGGTTGCATATATTTTTTGCATACTTTTATAGAGGATAAGTCCCTGTATGCGATGAACATATCAAATCATATAGTTGTATAAGAAAAAATCGAGAAAAATGCGTTTTTTGAAAGTTTTAAATCAGCTAATTACAATCAAAGTGGGCGCCGAAATAACGCCATTGACGTATTCCAGACATATGACACACCCTGTACATCATTGTTTAAATATCACCTATTTCATATGACGTTTGTTTGAAGTGAGGTTAAGAGAAAAATAATTTTCTCCGAAACAGTTAGGATTTAAACAATGAAACTTTNTTCATAGTGAATAGTTCATTATATATCATTGTATAAAAATCACCTATTTCATGTGACGTTTATTGAAAGTTGGGTTAAGATAAAAAAATTGTTTTCTCTGAATCGGTTAGGATTAAAGCAATGAAACTTTTTGAGGTTATAAAGGAAGGTTTGAGGTTGGGTTGTGCTAAATTTTAAGATTTCATAGTGAACAGTTCATTATATATCATTGTTTAAAAATCACCTCATTAATCTGACGTTTGCTAGACGTGAGGTTCAGGAAAAAAATTATTTTCTCCGAAACGGTTAGGATTTAAGCAATGAAATTTTTTGAGGTTATAAAGGAAGGTTTGAGGTTGGGTTGTACTAATTTTAAAATTTTGGCAATGAATAATTCATGATATATAAACGTTTAAAAATCAAATACTTAATTTGACGTTAATTGAAAGCTAGGTTAAGAAAAAAAAAATTGCTTTCTTCGAAACGGTTAGGATTTAAGCAATGAAACTTTTTGAGGTTATAAAGAAAGGTTTGAGGTACGTTTGTACCAAATTTTAAGTTTTCATAGTGAACAGTTCATTATACAGGGTGTATCAAATGTCTGGAATTTAGCCAATAATTCCGCCATTTGTGGTTTTAAAGAGAAATGTTTCAAATAAAAAATTCTTTATTAATTGTGGCGCATTTTTTGACTATACTTGCTTGTTTACACAGTTCTTTGTTTCGTTGCTATGGTAACCAATATTGTTATTTTAAATGGGATGCATATATTTTTTGCATACTTTTATAGAGGATAAGTCCCTGTATGCGATGAACATATCAAATCATATAGTTGTATAAGAAAAAATCGAGAAAAAATGCGTTTTTTGAAAGTTTTAAATCAGCTAATTACAATCAAAGTAGGCGCCGAAATAACGCCATTGACGTATTCCAGACATATGACACACCCTGTACATCATTGTTTAAATATCACCTATTTCATATGACGTTTATTGAAAGTTGGGTTAAGATAAAGAAATTGTTCTCTCCAAATCGGTTAGGATTTAAACAATGAAACTTTTTGAGGTTATAAAGGAGGATTTGAGGTTGGGTTGTACCAAATTTTAAGTTTTCATAGTGAACAGTTCATTATATATCATTGTTTAAAAATCACCTCATTAATTTGACATTTGCTAGAAGTGAGGTTAAAGAAAAAAATTATTTTTTCCGAAACTGTTAGGATTTAAACAATGAAACTTTTTGAGGTTATAAAGGAAGGTTTGAGGTTGGGTTGTACCAAATTTTAAGTTTTCAGTACGAGTAACTCATGATATATAAACGTTTAAAAATCACCTATCTAATTTGACGTTTATTGAAAGTTAGGTTAAGATAAAGAAATTGTTCTCTCCGAATCGGTTAGGATTTAAGCAATGAAACTTTTTGAGGTTATAAAGGAATGTTGGAGCTTGATTTGTACTTAATTTTAAGATTTCATGGTGAACGTACGTCTGAAGATGCACAGCTAAACCCGAATGGTTCTAGTTCTAGTTCTAGGTCTAGTGTTAGTTCTAGTTTTAATTGTTATTTAGCACTAGATTGTTGTACATATAGCTGGTCGAATTTGTGTGTATTAAAATTATTAATCCAAAGTGATTTTACAATAGCATTAATAACTTACCTTTTCTGTTGAGTTAATTTGTAAAAACGTCGCGATACCGGCTCGAACACGATTCTTAACACCTCGCACCGTTCCTTTAGCGCTACGAATCGTTTTTGGGCCTTCAACGGCCCCCGAAAAATCTTTGTATCCCGCAAAATACTCATCGTCGGGATGATTTTTTTTCGTCTTCCCGATTTCTTCATCCGGATCAATAACGTTCTCGTTTAAGTGGAACTTGTAGTATTTATCGGTGTCGTAAATCATCATTTTTGAAAGTCGTCGATCTTCCTTTTCCAATTCTTTCCTCGATTGATACGAATTTTCGTCAACTTGAATTTTTTTCGTAATAATTAAATTATTGATTTCTTTTGTAACGATCGGTTTGTCTAATATTTTAGTGTTTTCTTCGTCCTCGTCGATGATATTTGGTGATTGAGATTGCGTGGTTATCTTCGACGACCTTTCCCGGATATCTTTAAGTAGTCCTTGAGGTAAATACGCGCTTGCTTGTTTCGAATCGGAACTGTTTAATGAATCGCAACTTATATTGCTATCGTTATCGCTATCTTCCTGTTGAAATAATCGTTTGTTTTGATTTGTTGTTGATTGAATCAAGGTTACGGTTACACCATTTGAGGATTTTTTCTTTGGTAACGGTGGTGGTGTTCCGTCCATGTCGCTGCAAGTACCCGAATCGAGGGTATCACTTGGCGAAATTTGCCCGCTGGACATTCCGTTAAAACCACTGCCGTAATAAAAAAACGTTGATTTATCCTGATGGATTTCTGATATCCCTGATGTGGCGATCATTTCTTCGTTATTAACGCTTATCCGAATACTACTGCTGCTACTAACTGTTGGGTCTTCGTTTAATATTGATTCTTCTGGATTAATATGGATTTTAACAACATGACGATTTAAGTTGAGGTCGGGTTGATGCGAGATGAACGCGGAATCTGAAGGAATACCATCAGCAGTACCAGTAACAACAACGGATCTTTCAGGTACCGTTGTTTCTTCTTCTGGTGGGGAACTTCGGCTACGGGTCTTTGGAGGCAGCGGCGGCGGCGGCGAGGAAACTGAAATTTGCTTCATTTTTCCACTCCGATAAGACCCCGCGTCTTATCTCACACTATAAGTTTTTTATCAATTTTTCGATTATGATAACGATATGAATTTTTTTTAAATTATTTAAAATTTTTTTATTACTCGCGTTTAACTGTTGTTAAACCGCGTTGTAGACCGGCTACGATACGACTGAAGGTGTGCCACTTGCGCCAACGTTGCAGTCTCCTCAAGAACGTGGCTGAGTGGCTTTCTCAATGACAACCGTCTTCGTACGTGCACACGTTGGAGGAACATCGCGAGGCGTCGCCAATGAGTCTCTCACACACTCTCTCTTCTTTTACTCACAACAACCAAACGACCTCTACACGGACGTCTAACGTTTTAACATTCTTCTTATTGATTAACTAAAATTTTGAAATAAAATAAATATGTAAATTGACAGAAAAAAAATTTTTGATAATAAATTTTTTCGTTAACCTCAATTTTAACAAGTGATTTTAAATACTTATGCAAAACGACCTGTTTGATTTGAAAACTTAAAATTAAGTACAAATCAACCTCTAACATTCCTTTATAACCTCAGAAAGTTTCATTGCTTAAATCCTAACCGTTTAGGAGAAATTAATTTTTTTTACTTAACCTCACTTTGATAAACGTCAATTTTTGATTAGGTGATTTTTAAATTTTTATGTAAAGAGAACTGTTGAAGATGAAACCTGAAAATTTGGTACAAACTAACTTGAAACGTTCCTTTACAACCTCAGAAATCATAACCGTTTCGGAGAAAACAATTTTTTTGTCTTAACTTGACTTTCAAAAAACGTCAGATTAGATACGGTGATACAATAAAGTCTACATACAGCCCAAAAATGATAATATTTCGCCTGAATGATTCTAGTTCTAGGTCTTGTGTTAGTTCTAGTTTTACACCAGCATAGAACTAACACAAGACTTAGAACTAGAATCATTCGATTTTAGCCGTCTTGAAAGACGTGCAAATGTTACAACTGGAGTCGATATACAATCGAAAATAAATAGCAACAATTCAAGACCTCCCAATGCTTTTTACTTAAGAAAATTAAAATTAAATACTTAATACTTACACAATAAATACTTCGAACTATTAATGAAACGTCAAAAAATGTCACTTTAAGACGCATAGGAGATAGCGCCATCTGCCGCAAAAAGCCTTAAAATATACGTTTGTAACTATCTTCTCATCATGTCAAATATTTTAACCTAATTTAGAACCACGTTAAACACGAATTACTTTCTTTATAATGTAAAATGTGTACGAGTGACTAAAACGTCTATCACGCAAATTTCTTTTTAGTTTTAAATCAAAAACTGAGTAAGTTTAATAATTTTTTTTAATGAAACGTCAAAAAAATGTCATTTGAAAAAGTGAGGTTAGGTTGTGTCGGAAAAGTGTGATTAAGAATCCTTAACATCACTTTCGAGTATCAACACGGCCGTTTTCGAAGACATCGGCCGCCCCCGGCCATCGGGGGCGCTAAAACATTGAAAATCTTGAGTTGGATCTCTATAGTTTCATTGCTTAAATCGTTACGGAGAAAATAATTTTTTTCTTAACCTTACTTCTAACAAATGTCAAATTAAATTTTAGAGACTTGCGGCTAAACCCAAATGATTCTAGTTCTAGGTATAGTGTTAGTTCTATATAGTAACAGTGCTAGTGTAAAACTAGGTCTAGTGTTAGTTCTAGTTTTAATTATTATACAGCACTAGACCAAGAACTAGAATCATTCGTACGCCTAAACCCAAATGTTTCTAGGTTTAATGTCAGTTCTAGTGACAGTGCAAGTGTAAAACTAGAACTAATACTAGACCTAGAATTAGAAAGTATCCAAGTTCTAGGTTGCTCAAAGCGATTGAAAACTGCACCAACATTGTGCAAAATTGCTTTATAAGGTAGCAAAATGTTTCGAAATAGGTTCATAGCCATGTCATGTTATTCAAAATCATTGCAAATTGGTTAAGCATAATTCTATACTTGTCTAAATCATTAACAACTAGTTTTTAAACAATGCATGTTGCTCAAAATGACTGAAAACTAGTTGATAGTCATTAAAAACTTGTCTAAATGTATAAGAACTAGTTTATAGCAAGTTTAGGTTGCTCAGAATAACTTAAAATTGCACCAACATTGTCCAAAATTGCTTTATAAGGTAGCAAAATGTTTCGAAATAGGTTCATAGCTATCTCATGTTATTCAAAATCATTGAAAATTGGTTGAGCATAATTTTATACTTGTCTAAATGATTAACAACTAGTTTTTAAACAATCCATGTTGCTCAAAATGACTGAAAACTAGTTGATAGTCATTAAAAACTTGTCTAAATGTATAAGAACTAGTTTATAGCAAGTCTAGCTTTCTCAGAACGATTGAAAACTGCACCAACATTGTCTAAAATTGGTTTATAACGTAGCAAAATTGTTCAAAATGATTAAAAATAAGTTCATAGCCATCTCAAGTTATTCAAAATCATTGAAAACTGTTTGAGCATAATTCTATACTTGTCTAAATCATTAATAACTAGTTTTTAATAGTTTTTTTTCATTAAAAACTTGTCTAAATGAATAGGGACTAGTTTATAGCAAGTCCAAGTTCAGCTAGTTTTGCACTAGCACTATCACTAGAACTAACATAAGACCTAGAGCTAAAATAATTCGGGTTTAGCCGTCTTGAGAGACGTCTTGTAGCCTTTATTTCGTAGCACAAGTCGTTTCGAACTGTTTCGACTTTGTATTAAAATAATATAGACTTCTAATATCCTTCGTTTAAAAAATTCATTGAATTATATTTTAGGAGCTGAGATATTATCATTTTCTAGGGTGTATGTAGACTTTATTGTATCACTGTAGGTGATTGTTAGACATCTATATATCATGAATTATTCGCCATGAAAACTCTAAATATGGTATAACCCAACCTCAACCCTTCCTTTATAACCTCAACAAGTTTCATTGTTTAAATCCTAACCGTTTCAGAGAAAATATTTTTTTTCCTTCACCTCACTTCTAACAAACGTGAACAGGTAATTTTTAAATAAATATATTTAATGAACTATCTATCATGAAAACTTAATATTTGGTACAACCTAACCTCAAACGTTACTTTATAACCTCAAAAAATTTCATTGTTTAAATCCTAACAGTTTTAAAGATAACAATTTTTTTTATACTAACCCAACTTTTAATAAACGTCAAATTAGATAGGTGACTTTTAAACGTTTATATATCAGGAATTATTCGCCTTGAAAACTTAAAATTTGGTACAACCTAACCTCAAACGATCCTTTATAACCTCAAAAAGTTTCATTGTTTAAATCCTAACCGTTTCGGAGAAAATATTTTTTTTCCTTAACCTCACTTCTAACAAACGTTAAATTAGATACGTGATTTTTAAACAATGATATAAAATAATCTGTTCACTATGAAAACTTCAAATTTCGTACAACCCAACCTCAACCCTTCCTTTATAACCTCATCAAGTTTCATTGTTTTAATCCTAACCGTTTCGGAGAAAATATTTTTTTTCCCTAACCTCACTTCTAACAAACGTCAAATTAAACAGGTAATTTTTAAACAAATATATTTAATGAACTATCTATTATGAAAACTTAATATTTGGTACAACCTAACTTCAAACGTTACTTTAGAACCTCAAAAAATTTCATTGTTTAAATCTTAACCGTTTCGAAGAAAATAAACTTTTTTATCTTAACCTCACTTTTAATAAAAGTCAAATAATTTCTTTTTAGATGTTTTTNGTTGATAGTCATTAAAAACTTGTCTAAATGTATAAAAACTAGTTTATAGCAAATGACTAGGTTGCTTAGAACGACTGAAAACTGCACCAACATTGTCCAAAATTGGTTTATAGCGTAGCAAAATTGTTCAAAATGATTAAAAATAAGTTCATAGCCATCTCATGTTGTTCAAAATCATTGAGAACTGGTTGAGCATAGTTTTATACTTGTTTAAATGATTAATAATTAGTTTTTAAACAATCCATGTTGCTCAAAATGACTAAAAATTAGTTGATAGTCATGAAAAACTTATCTAAATGAATAGGAACTAGTTTATAGCAAGTTCAAGTTCACCTAGTTTTGCACTAGCACTATCACTAGAACCAACACAAGACTTTGTATTAAAATAATATATACTTCTAATATCCTTCGTTTAAAAAAGTCATTGAATTATATTTTAGGAGCTGAGATATTATCATTTTCTAGGGTGTATGTAGCTACTTTATTGTATCACTGTAGTTGATTTTTAGACATCTATATATCATGAATTATTCGCCATGAAAACTTTAAATTTGGTATAACCCAACCTCAAACGTTCCATTATAACCTCAACAGGTTTCATTGTTTAAATCCTAACCGTTTCGGAGAAAATAATTTTTTTCCTTAACCTCACTTCTAACAAACGTTAAATTAGATACGTGATTTTTAAACAATGATATATAATAATCTCTTCACTATGAAAACTTCAAATTTGGCACAACCCAACCTCAACCCTTCCTTTATAACCTCATCAAGTTTCATTGTTTTAATCCTAACCGTTTCGGAGAAAATATTTTTTTTCCTTAACCTCACTTCTAACAAACGTTAAAGTAGATACGTGACTTTTAAACAATGATATATAATAATCTGTTCACTATGAAAACTTCAAATTTGGCACAACCCAACCTCAACCCTTCCTTTATAACCTCATCAAGTTTCATTGTTTTAATCCTAACCGTTTCGGAGAAAATAATTTTTTTCCTTAACCTCACTTTTAACAAACGTTAAATTAGATACGTGATTTTTAAACAATGATATAAAATAATCTGTTCACTATGAAAACTTCAAATTTGGTACAACCCAACCTCAACCCTTCCTTTATAACCTCAACAAGTTTCGTTGTTTAAATCCTAACTGTTTCGGAGAAAATATTTTTTTTCCTTAACCTCACTTCTAACAAACGTCAAATTAAACAGGTAATTTTTAAATAAATATATTTAATGAACTATCTATCATGAAAACTTAATATTTGGTACAACCTAATTTCAAACGTTACTTTATAACCTCAAAAAATTTCATTGTTTAAATCTTAACCGTTTCGAAGAAAAAAAACTTTTTTATCTTAACCTCACTTTTAATAAAAGTCAAATAATTTCTTTTTAGATGTTTTTGTTACATTCTAATCTTATTTTATAAGCACTTTTAAGACAAATACATTTAATAAGATCCAACTTAATTAAAATAACCCAAAAAAAGAAATCAAATAACCAATTGATTAACTTTCTAACCGAAGAAAGTAAGCTTGACCGTTCAGATCGGTTAATTGTATAACATTATATTAAATTTATTGCTATTTCTATCCGTTTC